TTTAAAAAATCTATTCTGCCATTGTGTTTTTTATGTGGAACATTTAGGCCGTTTACGTTAGATGTGAACATTTAGATATGAGTTACTGTTCTCTTTTTCATGCTGTTAGCTACTTTTTTTTTCATTGTGTTATTGTTCTACAGGCCCTGTGAGTTTTAAACTTTTAAGAGATGGCTTTTATGTGAATATTGGGCTTTTGTTTCAAGGTTTAGAATTTATTGTCACATTTCTTATATTGCTGCTTTGGTAGTGACAAATTCCCTCCGCATTTGTCATTCTGAAAATGATGTTCTTTGTTTTTTACTTATAAAACAATTTGTCAGGATTCAAAATTCTTGGTTGAAAGTTGTTCTGTTTAAGGAGTTTGTAGATAGAACTTTAATCCATCTGGTTGTGAAGTTTTTGCTGAGAGCTTAGCCATTATTCTAATGGGTTTCTTTGTTTTCTTCTACTGCTCTTAGAATTATTTCCTTCATGTTGACTTTAGGTAGCCTGATGACTATAGGCTTGCTGAGGGTATTTTTACAATGAATTTCCCAGGACTTCCTAGAACTTTTAGGAATTGGATGCCGAGGTATCTAGGCAGGCCAGGAAAGTATTTCTCAATTATTCCCTCAAGTAAGTTTTCTGAACTTATTATGTATCTTCTTCTTCAGCAAGACCAATTATTCTTAGGTTTGGTCATTTTACAAAATCCTGTTTCCTGGAGACTTTGTTCATTTCTTTTCATTCTTTTTAAATGTATTTTTATGTGATTGGGTTATTTCAAAAATAGTATAGCCTTTCTACCTGTTTAAAACTTTTTCTCTTTTTATTTTGTAATTTTTGGTCTGTTGTTACATTTTTCTTCTACATTTTCCAGTCTATCTATTCTATTTTTAAAACTTTCCATGGCATTTTGTAATTCCCTTATTAAATTCTTGCATTTTGTCTTTTATTTTTACAAGTTCCTTGGGTTTTATGATATCTATCTCTCCATAGAATTTCTATTTATATTCTGAACTACTTTTATACATTTTTATGATGATTTTCACCTTCTTCTGATATTTTCTTGAGTAGCTTAATATTCGACATTTTGAATTTCTTATCTGGTATTTTAAAGACTTCACTTTGCTTAAAGTTTATTGCTGGAGAGCCAGCGTGACCTTTTTGGGATGTGACGGCACCCTGTTTTGTCATATTACCCAAGTTATTTTTCTCAATTCTTCTCGTTTTTGTAGACTGTATCTTCTAATTATTAAATTTACGTTTGGTTTGACTGCTTTTATGTTTGTTTGTTTGTTTTTAAATATATTTGTCTGCTAAGGATGACGATTTAATGCTTATAATTAATTATAGCCTAATTTGGTTTTCGGTGTTTACCAGGGTGAAGACTCTGTAAGAGTTGCATGATTATGGAGCATCTTTGCATCATGGCTTTCTTATGCATTGGTTGCAGCAGAAATTTTCTCAGTGTGTGAGGAAGTTCACTATCTTCTTTGGGGTTAGAATGGTAGAGGTCTCAAAGCTTATCTCATTCCTCTGTGGCATGCACATATTTATTTATTTTTCACCAGTGATTTATTAACTGGCTTGATGGTTCAGGTTTCAGGCCAGTGGGGGACTTGTCCCTGGGTGGAAACCACTGTGGATAAAGCAAGTGGGTAAATGAAGTCCCAGCTTTGCTAGAGTTGTTTATAGGAGCTTTTAGTGAGTCACACTGAGATCTTATCGGGGGAAGGGTTAGAGCCATCTCAGGTCTCTTGCCAGATCAGGAGGAAAGTTATGCACCTCTAAGCCACACTCCTGTTCCAGAATTCCGGCTATTCAGATCAAATGGGCATGTATTTTCACCTATAAAAATGTTGATGTGCCAAATAGAAAGGAATTCTGACTCTGTCTCATGCAAGCCTGAACCTGGAGGGTGCTCTTACTGTGGGGATGCAGTCACCATGATGTGTTCCAGAAAGACTGTCTATAGTTACAGCCATGCTGACTGCCTGAGGCCCCAAGTGTCTCTACAGTGGTGTACAAGGGGGAAATACTTCCTCTCCTTCAAGACCCTTCACAGGCACCAGGGCTGTCTGACTATTATGACAGAGCTGAAGACTTTCCCTGCTGAGCCCAGCAGGGCAACTGTGCATCTGCTAGAAGAAGTTTCCCACCAGTGGAGGGATCTGGGGTTCAAGATCTGCCATCCAGAGTCTCTTGTCCTGTGGGGTGTTCTCTCAATGTGGTGCACTCCCTTCCCCTAGAAGTAGAAGAATCTGGGAGCCAGGCCACTATGAGTGCTGCGGCTTCTCCAGATCTAGCTGCCCAGTGACATTGGCACACTTCAGCCTGGTGTTGGAAATGTCTGCAAGGGATCTGGTGATGTAATCTGTACTCACATTTTTCAGCAGTGAGCCACAGAAGAGGTCTGATGCAGGTGGCAAGGGAGTGATGAAGACTGAAATTTCATGGATATTGATAGCTTTTGTGTGCTGACCTTTTTGAACGTCAGTTATAATAGTAATGAACTGGTCATATGGACAGACTCATGATCTCCTGTTCATTCACAGTGGTGTGTGCAGTGGTGATAGCAGAGATCACACAGTCACTGTCTCCTTCTGCAGTACAGTGTTATTCTAACACAAGATACTGTGATGAACTGTTGGTTTACTCCTGCTTTGGCATGGTACTTGCAAAAGAGCATCAGTTGCTGAACTAGCAGTGGGTTTTTGCATGCCTTATGTTGCCCAAGACTGTGGGGTACTATGGATTCTCAGGCAGTGGGTGTGGCCATGTAGCTCCCAAAATATGTCATCCTTTGGGTTAGGCTGCCAGGACAGGTGACTGCACAAAGAAAGGTGAGGGCTGGGCCAGGTGGGCTTGTGTTCTGAGTCTCCATGTGCAGGGCAAGCAGCAACCCCCGTGGGTTTGGGGGCCAGGGCCGGTTCTCAGGCCACTGGGTTGATGCTCCACAGGAGGGTATTGCTGCCTCTGCTGCACTGAAGTTTGGTTAGGGAGTCGGGGGAGGCAGGTGGTGGTCAACCCCTCACAGTTCTCACACACTTGGTGAGGTAGATCCATTCCCTTGGTGTTCCACTGGCAGCAGTGAGATGAGTTCGTGAGCCTGTAATCAATACCTGCAAATGCCAGGAGTCATACGCCTTCCCCCTGAGGCTGCAGCAGTGGGTCTCATGCCATGTCCCTTCCTGTCTGCTGCAAAGCTGGGCACCAGCTCCTGCCCCCACAGCTCCTGACCTTGCAGCTCACTTTCCACTCTTCCCTGCCCTGGCCGTGGCCAAGGGAGTTCGTCCGCACATGAGGTTATATCACAAAACCCTGTTGGGAGCTTCTTTCAACATGTCACTCACAACTGCCTGAAAGTTTTGGCTGTTCTCCCCAGGGCGCTCTGTGAAGAACATTAAAAAATGGCTGCCCTCAGACCACAATGAGATCTGGGAGTTTATGCAAGGGTCTTCCTACCACTGCTCCTTCTTTTATATTCCACCACCCTCCACAGTGGATCTCTGCCCTGGGTGAGATTAGGGCCTTCTGTGGCCTCGACTTTCAGGTCTCCATTTGGGAGTGTGTATCCCAGAGGCAATTTCTCCCCTCGAACTCTGCAGACCCCAGCCCTTCACCTGTCTCACACTGTAGGCTGTGATTTTTCAGAAAGTTTGTAGATTATTTCAGTGTTTCTGTTCAGTTCCTGCGTTGCTTCTTAAAAATAAGTCCACAGTGTTAACCTCTCCACCTTAGCTTGTCCTTCCCAGTGGAAGAGGTATGCTAGCAATGCCTCTAACCTGCCTTCTTGGAAGGTAAGTTTGATTTTGTATCAGTGATTTCACTGAATCTGTTCATTAGTTCCAACCACTTTTTGGTGTAAACGTTAGGGATTTGTGTAAGACCATATAATATATAAAAATAAATTTAAAATTTATTCATTGCTATGTGAATGACATCTATTTTTTATTATTGCCTGTCTATTCTGTCTAGACAGCCCAGTGCTAGGTTGAGTAATATTGGTGATAATGAGTATCATGTCTTGTTTCTATTCTTAGAGGAAAACAAAATTTTCCTCATTGAGTATAATGTTAGGTATGGGCTTGTGATATGTGGCCTTCATTGTGTTGAGGTCTATATCTTTTATGCATAATTTGTTCAGATTTTAGTAATGACAGTGTTGTGGATTTCATCAGAAACCTGTTTGAATTTATTGACATGGACATATGTTTTTAGTCCTATAATATTTTAATTTGATATATCACATTTATTTGTGCAGGTTGAAACTTCATTGTATCCTAGAGATAAACCAACCTGATTTGGTGAATCATGTTGCTAATATGTTGTTTAATTTTATTTGTCATCACTCTGGAGAATTTTGGAAACTATGATAATCAGGGATATTGGCCTGTAATTTTATTACTTGTAGTGTCTTTTCCATGCTTTGGAAATGGGACCTTCCAAAATAACCTTGGGTATATTTCTTCCTTATTATTTTGTTGAAAAATTGAGTAAAGATTCTAGTTTTTAAAATATTTTATGAAATTCAGTAGTGAAACAATCAAGTTCTTGACTTTTCCTTGATTTGAGGTGGTTTAAAAATCACTGACTCAATCTTTTTACCATGGATCTCTTCAGATTTTTTTTTTTTTGAGATGGAATCTCACTCTGTCACTTAGGCTGGAGAGCAGTTGCTTGATTTTGGCTCACTGCAACCTCCACCTCCTGGATTCAAGCAGTTGAACCTCCACCTCCTGCCTCAGCCTCCTGAGCAGCTGGGACTACTGGCAAATGCCACCACTCCCAGCTGATTTTTCTATTTCCAGTGGAGACTGAGTTTTGCTATGTTGTCTAGACTGATCTCAAACTCCGGACCTCAGATGATCCACCCACCTTGGCCTACCAGTGTGCTGGGAATACTTGTGTGGGCCACCACACATGATTCAGATTTTTTATTTCTTAATGGTTAAGTTGTGATAGGTTGTATATTTTTAAATTTTATCTATTTATTTTAATTTATCAAATTTTTATGAAAGAAGTCTTTATTACACCCAAATACTTATGAATTGGCCAAAATTTGGGTGTACTTATCATTGAAAGGAAAATGACAACAGAGAACGATCAAAACAAGAGAACCTACTAATAGTTCAAAAAGGGATTAAATGATTTTGTAAAATTAAGTAGAAAATAAAAGGAGGGTGTGAGAGAGGATAGTAGGGAGAATAGCCAGCAATGGTTAACTGTGTAAAATCTTCACTAATTAAAAGACTGTCATACTTAACAGCTGCCTATTAGGCAGCCTTTTGATGTTAACCATGTAATATACTCCATGAACGACCTTCTAGAAGACACAGTGGGAGCCCCTCAGAGAATCCACTCCCAGGAGCAGGTCCCCCATCCTAGTTGCTGTAGGGGCTACAAACCCTCCCATGTTGTTCTCTGGTTCTGGCTTCTGAGGACACAAACAGCCAGTGATTCCTCCCCAGAGGGAATTGAGAGGGGCGCCCTGGGGAGGTCGTCTCTGGCAGCTCACTCTGCACCTGCCCTGTGGGGGATTTTAGATGGGCTCAGTGCTGATTTCTCACACTGTGTCTCTCGCACAGTAATACATGGCAGCGTCCGAGGCCTTCAGGCTGCTCCACTGCAGGTAGGCAGTGCTGGTGGACTTGTCGACTGAGATGGTGATGTGACCTTGGAAGGACGGGCTGTATCTGGTATCAGAGTCACCAGGATAGATCATCCCCATCCACTCCAGGCCTTTCCCAGGCATCTGTCGCACCCAGCCGATCCAGTAGCTGTTAAAGCTATATCCAGAAGCCTTACAGGAGATCTTCAGAGACTCCCCGGGCCTTTTCACCTCTGCTCCGGACTGCACCAGCTGCACCTCGGCACAGACACCTGTGTGGGAGATACAAAATTTGAATCAGGGACTCCTTGTGCCCTCAAATCCTTCTTCTCTGTGACCTCAAACCCTGGGCATGACTGACCTTGGAGAACAGCCAGGAGGAGGGCGAGGACGGTGGTTGACCCCATCCTGGAGGAGGACAGGAAAGGAAGCCCTGAGATCCCAGCTGGGCGGTGAGGGAGACACACTGTGGAGGGGAGCCCTGTGTTTAAGTGGAAGCCCCCACTTGAATTTGCATAGTGGACGCCCTGGCCTGAAGGGAAGAGTCTACTGGGTTTATAACCCAGAAACGCAATTGCAGACAAAAGGCCGGCCTGCGCCTCCTGAGAGAGGCAGAATAAGGTCTCAGTAATTCCTTACACCCTCTTCGTGCCCCTCCCACTCTTGTCCGTGCTTCTAGAAGAGCCATACCAGGGCCTCCCTTCTTCCACCCTTCTCTGTGACACCAGGAAAGTGGCAAATCTAGATGAAATTATGTGTATTTAAAAATTAGAAATAGAGCCAGAAGAGGCCATGAAGAGAAGATTCAAACACACATATGCCTGATAACAAGAACAACCAAAAAACTACTCTCCAGTCCCTGGCAATTTCCTATGACTATGATTATGGCCTGGGCTCCCAACAAGGGCAGGACCACCCCAGTTCCTCAACTAGTCCTCAGCTTGATTAACTTGTCAGACCTTCACCCAAAATCACACATCATTCCTGGTCATTTTGTCTTCTAGATTTTACACTCTGCTCATTTAACATAAATAGGGAAACTTGTTTAGATCTCTGAATTGCTGATGGAACTGAAGGGATTCCCATTGCTACACCCACTCCTGGCAGTGCTATTTCAAGTCTTTTGTGTCAACCCCAGCTCCTTCTTGTTGAGTTCTTTCATTCTTTACCTTTATTTTATGTTATCCACATTGCTTCGAGGAGGCCTTTAACGATCCCCTGTTTCTGCCTCATTTTGTTGTGAACCACGTACATTTCCTTAGCATTTTTTGAGACAAATGAAAAGCCAAGGTGACACAAACTACACAGGTTCTAAAATATTTGCAAGTCTAGTCAAGGGAATTGTACCTGGGGAGCAGAAGCAAAAGGACTTCTCTTTACCACAGCATAGGCCATGACCTGTGTAAG